GATTTATTAAACACATAAAATTAAATAATTATGCATGTTTAATTGGATCAGAACATAGGTTTTATGAATTTGGTTCATATCTGTTCTTGTGTTATGAATTGATAAAATGCATGATTTTGATTTTATTTCTTATGTGAATTTTTACATGTTTAAATTATATATTTTTCATATCTGTGGAATGATGGAACGTAGAAACATGCCTAGGATTCCTGAACATTAAATAGGGATTAGGTTTGGGTTTTAATAAATTTAGATAGACTCAATCATAATGATGCTTGCTATTTGAATGTTTTAAACAAACGAATGGATTTAATCTTTTAAAATATTTTAGCAATTGAGATTAAATGTGTAGGATGAATTGGATATAGAGAATCCTTATTTAACGGTATAATAAAATATCATCATGTATAAGATTCAGTTTGTGTAGGACATATGATATAGGAAGTTTAAAGAAATAATAAGTCATTCCTATTATATGATAACTTGATATCATATTTATCATAATTATTTATGGAATGTTTGATGTATTTCCTTAATTGTTACATCAATTGTTGGATTGTGTGGTTTAATGCACCGGTGTGGGACGGTGGCATTCTAGGGATGGATTAACTTATCAGTTAAGTCCTACCTATTTTTTATAAGGGAATGGATTAACTAAAATGTTAAGTCCTACTTATATTTAAGTCAGGTCAGCTGAACAAGTTGAATGACTTATGGAGGATTAATTTATTATATAAGGGAATGGATTAACTAAAATGTTAAGTCCTATTTATATTCAAGTCAGGTCAGCTGAACAAGTTGAATGACTTATGGAGGATTAATTTATACTAGATAGGATGGTTACTAGATTTTATATATATAAGTATGGTGCCATGATATGAGCTTGAGTCTCAAGATCAATGTTTAGGGCACGTATATCGCCAGGGATGTGTAGCTAGATATAGTGTAGTTGTGTACCCTGGTAGGTCTAGGTACTCATGCCCACTATATGTGCGTTTTGCATGTTGCCTAATATTCAGGTTGAGACAACCCTATAGTCTAGTGAGGTTCCTTTTGTGTGTGTATATATATATATATGGACTACTAGTTACTGTTGGATTGACTAGGATGTATACGTGTATCGGATCTCTGCTTGAACTGTAGTAAAGTAGAACTTGTTTGTGGGCCTGACCCACCATTATTTTTCAGGTGTTCGTCACGAGTAGAGGTTGTTCGTGCTGAGCGGGGATCAGTCTACTTCATTCTTTCGATGCTACATAGGAGTTCCTTTTTGATTCAGTTTCCTGTTTTAGATTACTGTCATTTGTTTAGTTTGGATTTTCTAGGGGTCCACACAGTATGGATTCCCGAGTTGTATTTTGGAGGATCAATTGTATCAGAAGAGTTTATTAATTAATGGAAATATATTATGAGGTTTATTATTAGATTATCATTTTAGTTTCTTGTCAGCATTTTATTTATTCTTCTTTATTCTTTTGTACTCTGTGTTCGTTTATTATCAATTTGTTTTGATATCCTCGGGTATTCGGGCGTGGGCCTAGCCAACCCGCATTCAAAAATCCGGGGGTATCACACGGACGACCAGCAACCTTCCTACTGCTCAGTTCCAATACCACAATCCATCCACTCCTTCCTCCTTGATACGACCTTCAGGTCACGGTTGAACTCCTAACTGGTGGCCCATATAGTTTCCTCTCAAGACCATTATGTATGCCTCTGTTTTCTCTCTCAAGAATTCTTACGTGCATAGGTTTGTTTTTAACCCTAGCAGACTTGTAAAGTTAAATATATAGACTACCATAAAAACTTAACCCTAATTCCAACCTCCTATAAGTCGGCACCCATAATTACATAATCGTAACACCCTAAACCTAATTAATTAATTACACGTAAAACAAATAAGGAAAGCAAATAAATAATCACTCAAAACACATAAATAAATTCAAGATAATAAATAATTAAATACATACCCACTATTCACAATTAAACAATATTAATTTAAATACCAACTATTAATCACTTAAGAAAAACAAAACAACTAAATCACATAATTAAATCAATTAATCAATAAATAAAATAAATAAACAAAAATCCCAATTTTATCATTTTTAAAACTAGGGTATTACAATATGCTTATAAAATTCTAGTATAGTTCTTGCTTTGATATTGTGGTGAAACCTATTGCTATGTTGTTGTATAACTTAAGGTTTTAAACTTGCTATGTTGTGAATGGAATTCCTTGTTTAGCAACCTTGTGATTAGTGTAGTGAATAATGCATTATATACTTGACATTCACATGCCATTAATTGTAGCTTGGAGACTTAGAGCATGGTTATGTGTGATTACCAAATGTTGTTTGTGCATGGAAGGTGTTTAGTTGCATTGTAGCACCTGTAGTTGTTGTGACAACTTGATGATTTTGGAAATACTTGGGGCAAAGAAACAATGAAATGGCTAGGGTTTGACCCTAGTGTGGGAGGTACGAGTTCTCCCCAATATAGTGCGCACTTAGGTAGTTCCTTGTGGGTTAATGCCCGAAACAACTTGTATTGTCTTGTGTTGTGAGTTCACAACCTTGTCTTGTGTTGTGAGCTTACATCGGATGCCGCCTCTAAGTTTTCCATTTGGTATGATTTGGCATTTATTTTACAAGTTGATATAACTTAGGGTTGTAACTTGTTGTATATCATGGATTATCCCATTGTATTAGATAGATGTACCTATTGTGGATTGCTTTCAATATTGTGTCAAATACAGCTTAGGACCTTGCCTTAGCTTCCCTTTGAAATGTAGACGTTAGGGAGCATGACCCACTTGAATACAGTTTATATTATACAAACAAAGGCCTTGAAACTTTAGGGTATACGCATATTCATTTCCTACGAGTAACTTGTTTACTCACCTTAGTTGATTAGGTTATTTTTAGGTAAGGAGACCTTGTTTTGGGATGCACAACATCCCTAGATCAGCTTGAGCTATATTAGATATTTGATGTGTTTTTGTATACATACAAGTGTTAGTATGTTAAACTTTCCTTAAATGTTGTAATATATAACTTGTATGGAAGCATAGCTTGCTTCCCTTTTTGGGCATGTAATGTGGGCTTAAATATAATATTTGAATGTACTACAACATGTATGTAAATGAGGCCAAGGGCCAATCTCTTTTGTTAAATGGAATGTATGAGAAAACTTAACATATTTTGACTTCCATGACCCATTTTATATTGAGGGCATTTTGGGTATTCCATGTCACTTTTTATTTTGATTTTTGTTCATGGTTGTATAGAGGACTTAAATTAGGGGAGGGGGGGGGGGGGGTTGCTTCACAAACTTTTTCCAAAAGAATCTGTTTATGTGTCGAAAAATGCACATTTTCAGTTAAAAATCTGCTTGTAGCATTTTAGTTTCTATAGACGGTGATCGATCACCGGTTGTGGTGATGGATTGCTAGGCACCTATTCATCCTTCGCAGACTTCGGTGATCGATTGCCGAAGTAGCGATCGATCGCCCTGGGAGCATTTTATTTTTCGTTTTTATTTAAAAACTTTGAGATTTCGTAACTCTTTCATTCGGACTCCAAATCAGGCAATTCTTAAGTCTAACTTTATTAATTTTTTATTATCTATCCAGTGGTATGCACGGTAGCACCCATCTTTATTTTGAAAAGATTATTTTACCCTTAGAGTCATACTTAACCGTTTTTAACCCTAACTTCCGTATATTGTTTTTCTTTTAGTTTCGTGGTTTCATGGGAAGTCACTTTTGTGTCTTAGGGATGACGTACATCTTTAGAGACCTTGCTTATTTTATCCGCTTCTGCATTTCGGATCCAATATCGGATCAACTTTCGGGTCATTATCGACGCACCGGGTTTGAAAAACTTAGACCGTCACAACATCTAAGTACTAAAATCTTACCAAAGATGAACAATATGTGTCCTCACACACTTACCTACTCTAATATGTTGTTCTCATCAAATCGAACTGTGTTGACACGTTCCCATCTTCAATTCCACTTCCGAACTCAAGACTCAAAATTAAATAATAAAATTATAACTCGACTAGACACGCTTTGACATCAAAATTTACCAATTACAAAATTTATATGTTACAGTTATTGATTTGTCTTGAACCATATAATAATATTTCATCTATTAGACCGAAACAATTTTTCACAAAAGAGATTTAAAACATATATGGTGTGGCCTACTTGGGACCAAATAGACACTCACATCACTCCGAACATTTGACAACAAATCTATTTCTCACGAGGATTTAATTGGCATTAAATCTGTGTGTGTTGCTTACCAAAGTATTAGTATAATATGAATAATTATGACTGAAATTTGTAACTTATTTTTTATTAATTATTATCATTTTTTGTTTCCTTCAATTCTAACACCCACCAAATGGGTGGCTAATGGGTTGGCAAGGACGGAGCCAATTAAGGTTCCCTTTTTAAAAAAAAATAATATTTTTGTATCTATAAATCTTTAAAATTTTAAAATTATCTTCTTGTTTTTTTTTTATTCAAAACATAATTTCTAAATTCAGCCCCACTAGTTGGTGTTCTTCATCGGTAGACACGATTCAAGAGAAAATAAATGCCTCACACCCCTATTACACTCTCAGTAACATAAATGACTGGTCTTATTTTGACCATGTTTGACCCTAAATCAGCCATCAATTCCACTATTGAACGATCTCAGCTTGGACGGCCCTGATCTTGTTCTCCTAGCTAAACCGACCACAGACAGAGCCGTTGAATCGCCCCTGCGATTGTGATCTTGTTCTCTTCAATCTGAAATCAGAAGTGTAATCAACTGTGCGGGCGATCTTATTTCACTAAACCCTACTCTACTCTACTAGGGTTTACTTTGCTTGCTCTGAAGAAGTTATTAGGGTTTTCGTTTGTTCAAATCCATCTCTGTAGGGTTTTGTTTGTTCAAATCCATCCCAGTTTCTTTCAAATTCAAGCGAAGAATTGGAAGAAGAAAATGTCAGATTTCCTACCTCATGATGTGTTCATCGACGTCCTCACTAGACTACCCATCAAAGCCCTCGTCCGGTGCGCCTGTGTCTGCAAATCGTGGTACTCTTTGTTCACAAACCCTAGTTTTATCACCACACACCTCAATCGGTCATCCATTGTGAACAACAACAATCTTCTACTAGTTCGAAGCCGCTCTAGTGATGATGCCAATGTAGTGCATTACTCACTATTACGTTATGAAAACGGAACGTTGTGTGATAATGCAGAGCTTGAGCTTCCACTGAAGTGCTATAGAAACCCTTCTTTGAGGATAATCGGTAGCTGCAATGGCCTCGTGTGCCTTTCGAATGATTTGCACGGTTACCAGGAGGAGCTTTATCTATGGAATCCATCGATTCGGAAGACGATGGCCCTTCACCAATTACGGGTCAAGTTTCAATCACACGGTCCGTTTATGCATACAATCGGATTTGGCTTCGATCCAGCGACTGATGACTACAAGGTTGTCAGGATTGTGTATCTTGAATCTCTTGATGAACCCTATGATTTTGGATCTCCTCCGGAGATTGACATTTTCAGTCTGAGCACAGGCACATGGCGGAACATCAGCCATTTCGGTCTTCCACATATCATCGACGAGCGGGCTCCCCAGACTTATCTAAACGGGGCTGCACATTGGTTTGCTAATGGTTTGCTTTCGGGGAACACCTGCCACTTGATCGTGTCATTCCACATGGGTGATGAGGTATTTGGCGAGATCAAGGTGCCCAGTAGCATTTTTGATGAATACAGGGCCTCAAGTGTTGGTGTTGAGAAGTATCAAGAATCACTCTCTCTCTGATTACTGGTATTTGGGGTGAGAAACTTGTTGCATATGGGTGATGAAGGAGTATGGCATGCCAGAGTCTTGGACTAAAAAAATCAATATTGATATGAGTGCATCATTAAGCAGAAGTGTAGCTGGCTTCACCAGGAAAGGTGAAATTGTGCTTGGGAAAAAAGATGGGTGTCTGGTAGCTTATGATCCCGAAATGGAACAAGTAATGGATCTTCATATTAGTGGTTCTACAGATTCATTATCTTTGGACAAAAATAAAACAACTCACTCAGAAACAATAAAAATAAATAAGAATAGTGTATAGAGAAGCGTGGAATTGCTTGATCTTTTATTGGAGGCCTTAGCCTCTATTTATACACAAAAGATTACAAAATTATGGTAGGACTCGCCTTGCTTGCCCTCCAATTCTTTCTATATAACCATTCTTTTCTAATAGAGTTTTTTCCATTGTCGAATTTTCCATACATAGAACTTGCCTTGTACAGAACTTCCTATCAGAATTTTCCTTCTACAGTAAATCCTTCAAATGGTAGGACTTGTGCATTCTTGGGCTGAATATATTTTGATCCGGCTGGGCTTGAGTAACAGGCCGGATGTTAAATACTCATAAGTTGGGCTGATGACTTCTTGATTCGGCCTTGATGGAAGTTGGAGGACAAATAACAATGGTCTTGGGCTGTAAATACCCTCAACTTGGGCTTGAGCACGATGGGCCTTATATGTCCTTGGAATGTAGACATGGGTAGTGGTGACGTGTGCGCTTTTTATTGGAGGGAGTTTTTTTCCCTCCACACTTTGCCCCAAATTTCGTTTTTAATTGAGCGACGGCTCCTATTAAAGAGGGAATTGAAACCGGTTTTTTACTTTGCTTCAGAAACGGTTCGAGGTCTTTCATTATTACTCCAACGTACAAGATTTTGTAAGAGTTACATGTGCCCTTGCTGCACTTCTGCGTTCTTCATTCCATCGCTTTGTCAGGTTAGTCTCGTATCTTTCTCTTCAATCTTTCCTTATGAGTACTTCATCTACTCCCGAACGTATAGACCTTGGGGATTCTGAATCCACACCTTCATCTTCCCCCGTTCGCATTAGGGCTCCCCCTCCTAGGGTTTCTACAGATCGCCCTTTGTCGAATCCATTAGGTACTTCCCCTCTTCCAACCGAGACATCTACCTCAGGCTCTGATTATGTTCTTACTCATGACGAGAAGAAAGCAATCATCTCTATTCGCCGTATCAAGTTCTCTATTGCTTCGGTAATGGAAGAATTTGATATTCCTGAGGGAGTAGAAATTGCAGAATATCCCGAGGGTGCCGATTTTACCTCCGGCGAGGGAATTGAGGAGGATGAGTTGCTTCTTTCAGTGGGGCATTTTAACGCCCTCCGATTCCCTCTTCATCCCTTCTACCATTTAGTGTTTAATAAGCTGGGTCTTGTCCCCCTTTAGGTAAACCCTAATTTCTTTCGCATCCTTTCGGCACTGTTGGTGCGCCGGAAATTAGAGGTTCTTGATTTGACCCTTGTCGACCTTCTGCTTACTTACAATATATCTAAGCATGGGACCGAGCCTGGTCGCTTTTTTTTTACTTCTCCCCTTCATCATAGGATATGCACGAATATTCCTTCATCCGAAAAGAAATGGAAAGAAATGATGGTTATAGTTAAAGGAAAATGGTTCGTGTCCCAATCAATTGCGCTTCCCATCCCGCGCAAGTTCGGGAAATTAGGTATAGAATATTTAACCTCCCTTCATACCAAGTGTTCTGGCTGTTTTCCTTGCCAAGTCTTAATGTTTCGACTTATTTATGAGTTTCTTGGTGTTTTTTCAGCTACATTCCCATCCTCCGCAGCAAGGAACAGACTTTCTTTTCTTGAGGAACGAGTCTGGAGTGACCCCTCGCCTATCGAGGACCTGCTAACTTCTTCAAACTCAAGGACATTGCCTCCAGTGCCGTTACTGCAGACCTCATGGATATGTCTCTACCATCCTTTGACAGTTTTCCCATGACTGAGGAGGAGATACGAAGGGCTGAGGCTTTAAAAAAGAAAGCCGAAGATGCCCAACCCTTGGTCGTTATTAGATCAACTGAGGATGAGGTGGAGGTTGAGGAACCACCAATGAAGAAATCTCGCCTCAACCCCTCATCCTCTGGCAAGGGCAAGGTCCCTTGTAAAAGCAGAGGAAAAAAGGCTGGAGAGGCCGAACCTGAAGATGAAGTCAGGGCCTTTGTTCTAGCTGAGACTGGGACTCCTTGGACTCCTTCCTTCACCCGGGCTGATAGGTCAGTCCTGCACTCAGGGGATTCTGTGATTACAGACCCTTCAGCTGTACTGGCGGTGGCTCGAGGAATGTGGCTCCCAAAGGACGAGGAAGCCATCAGCCAAATGGGGTTGGAGCAACTACTCCCCTCTGCCCCAGTCCGGGCCATAGAGGTTCGCATTGCTCCTTCAGAATTATGTTACTTTTGCTTGCTTGTGTTTCTATTTATGCTTATATTTGCTTCCCTGTTAAACAGAGTCTATACCATACCATGGCCCTTTGCGCCACTGCTGAAGCTCAATCCCTCTCCATCAAGAAGTTGGAAAAGGATCTTGACAATGCAGAGAAGAGTGCCACTACTGCCTCTACCAATCTGAAGATAGCTTCTGAAGCCAAGGATGCGTATAAGAGGCAGTTGTCAGCCTCTGAGGCTAAGGTGGATTCTCTTCAGGCCGAGGTTCAACGCCTGACCGAGGCTCTTACTACTTGCTTCAAGGCGGGGAAGCAAATGCAGGGGCGCTACTCCTGTCTGGCGCACCTGGCTAGTGCTAAAGCGTTCCGGTCTGGCTATAATCAGGGCTCAGGCCCTAAGACGATGGATCCGGACGCTTTTGACAAGCAGGTAGGGGTGCACTTCCCATACGATGAAGGCCCAGAGGCTTTGGAAGCTGAAATCCGCTTTGCCGAGATGGTGAAGGCACACCTGAAGGGTACTCCTAGCTCCCCTGCTCCTGCGGCTTCAACTCCTCCTACCTCAAGTCCTAATGTAGTGGATATTTTTGAATCTACTCCCTTCGATCCGAAGAGGAAGTAGAACCATGTATTTTGTTTTTATGAACAGCCTGTTTTGGGATAATGAGTAATGAATATAACTTTTTGTTTTAGGCTTGCCTGACTTGTTTTTGCTGTATGCTCTTGATACTGTTCATATTTCTCTGACTGGTAATGTGTTTAAACACTAAACATTGTCTTTATACTTCGGTTTTATGCTATCCGTGAAAACGCAAGGATTGTGGGAAGAAGGAGATCCTTTTAACAGTTTAGTTGATATCGCAGGATGACTCATATGGACAATGATTTAACTGTTAAATGAACCCTCCTTGCCTTTTACTTGCCTGCAGTAGACGTATACATACTCTTTCCTTCTCGTGTGTTCCTGATGTGGGGTGGAGTATGATGAACTTATGATATATCCGCATCCACAGGGTATTAAACACTTGGAGTCCGGAGGAAAGAGTTCTGATCCGGGTACCAGAGGTCTAAAGTGAATACTCCTCGGCACTGAGTGTGGAGGAATATTGCTGAATAGGACACTTAGGGTCCAGATTTGTCTCGGATACTTAGGATTCGAGGCGAATTATCCCTCGGCACTGAGTCGTGGAGGACTAGTGCTGAATAGGACACTTAGGGTCCGAAGCTGTCTCGGATACTTAGGATCCGAGGCGAATTATACATTCCTTGGCGTGGAGCTGGAGGGGGGTTTTGCCGAGCCGAACACTTAGGGTCCGAGGCGAGACTTTCGCCGAGCCGAACACTTAGGGTCCGAGGCGAGATTTTTGCCGAGTCAGACACATAGGGTCTGGGGCGAAATTTTTGCCGAGCCGAACACTTACGGTCCGAGGCGAGAGAACTACTCCCCGGCGCTGAGCTTGAGGGGAGGTTAAATGAATTACTCCCCGGCTCTGAGCCTGAGGGGAGGTTGTGCCGAACCGGACACTTAAGGTCCGAGGCGAATGAATTACTCCCCGGCACTGAGCCTGAGGGGAGGTTGTGCCGAACCGGATACTTAAGGTCCGAGGCGAATGAATTACTCCCCGGCGCTGAGCCTGAGGGGAGGTTTGTTTTACATTTTTCCTCAAACCACTTATCATGAGGCCGAGGACTCAAATATGATAGGAGGCCAAGAAAGCGAGTAACAGTGGCTGTGAAGTTTTCCATTTGTTGACTTTAGAGACCTGCCTCCACTGATACTCCATTCTTGGCAACCAAATGTTGTGGACCACGCATATATGAACCACATTTCTTTTCTATTTCTATCTGATGTGGGACATAGACTAAATTTTGTCAAAAAGGTTGGTGTAAGGAATGCCTCTGGTATTGAGCTTGACAGCCTTAAATACCAGTGGGCCCTCCTTACACCGTGATTAACTATTTGAATATTTCCATATATAACAGAATGTGGCACATACTTTTTTGTCAATGTGGGATAGAAAGGTTTAAGCACAGGCCATAACTCATGTTTTGTTTTTGTGAAAAAATCAGACGAATGCCATGCATAGTATGGTCCCCCATTTTTATAAAAAGAAACAAAAATAGAGGAAAGTGGTACTGAACATAGAAGCAAAATAAAGAAAAGCTTGGCTGACTGTGGACATACACAGCTTTATTTGCGAAGAAGTTGTAGCAAAATGGACAAACTTAACTAATGGAAATACCTTTTCAGGTGTATTGCGTTCCAAGGACGCGCAATGGGACGTCCGCCAGCTTCGGCCAAACGATATGCTCCTTTCACCACTACTTCGGTAACCCTGTAGGGTCCGGTCCAATTAGGTTCCAGTTTCTTTACATGAGCTGTCTCCTGCTTCAAAACCCAATCACCTACCACAAAGCTCCTGAATCTGACGCGTTTGTTATAATTGTTACACACCTGCTGTTGGTATGCCGCGAGACGAATTGCTGCTGCATCTCTCATTTCGTCCACCAAATCAAGGCTATGTTCGAGTTGTTGCTCATTGTTCCCCTC